ATGGGCAGAGCACAGATAGCCCTTGTGTAGCTTTGTGCATAATTAAAAACAACCAAACAAATTTGTATCCATTTGGTATGCCTTACCAGATTTACTTTAGGTATTCAAGTAATGTTTCTACCTGAAAAGATAAATATATCATAACAAGCAGTTTATTACCCCAAATGTAATAAATTGAATAAAATTTTCCATAATTTCAGGGAAAAACGAACCACTATTTAACAGACATACCATAAATCGTTGTTTCAGAGTTAAATTTGTGGAACCATACGTTTTCTGTAGTCAATAAATTAAGAATATTTTCAAAGCAATGTATAACTTATTTTTAGAACAGAAATGAAACAGCTAAGAGCTCAAGGAAAAAATAAGTTTAGGTTGGGCCTATTCGCCCGATCGTCGGCTGAAAAAGCATTACAAGATTGCTTATTCGCCCAATCATTTTTAAAATGCAAGAGTGCATGTTTCCTCATCGCCTTAAACATTAAAGTAGTGAAGGCCGTTTGTGTCTAGTATAAACAAACTAGATTGGTGTGGGGACGGGGATTGGGTGGCAGGGCAATTTACATAGACATATCATGTTGACAGTGGCATAACCACAAACTGTTCATTGGAGAAAGAATTTGGAAAGACAAAGGTTCGTCGGTATAGCCCAATAGTATGGCACGAGCTCTCAGGCGAGGAGGGCCACCTTAGGGTTCCCGATGATGATGAATAACCCTAGGCCCCTTTGTGAAATTTTGAATGCACAAATTGAAGTTAGGCCTGAGAGGCTTTGTTTGAGAACATAATGTTGCGTCATCGAGGTCACGTGACTGGTGTGGCGTGAAAGTTCTACTTTCTAGAACTATCCTGTACTTTGGCGAATGCTCTAGTATTTACTAGATAGAGGGTAGACTGGTATATAAAAGAGGGTGACAATGTGACGGGAACGGAATGTAATGTGTGTATAGACAGTGAGTAATTGAACTGCAGTCAGAGAGCACGAGAGACGTTACATCGTTTGTTTAGCGCGATTGTTGAAGTTGAATGTATCGGTAAAGTTATATTCGGAAAGAATAAACCAGTTTTATTAAGAAAGGACTTGTGTCGCTTAAGTTTCGTCGGAACGAAGTTACGGAAAATCAATTAACAAACGGAGACGTAACAATAATAAAACAAGTTTGGTAATATGCTTATCTATCAATGTAATTTGTTAATTGTTAAAGAACTTTTAACGATATTTATCAATTATAATATCTCAATTGTATTTAATATAACAGAAAGTCAGAAATAACTTTGAAGTTTTTGATATCACATAAAAATAACCAATAACGAACTGTGTCATCGATTTTGAGCTCAAGTTATACACAGACCTATTCTACTACAGTATAACATATAGGCCAATAGGCAATAAATCAACCTTAAAACAAACAGTTTTTCTAAGTTAACCAGTAGTTAACCGCGTTTTAAAATAGAAACAAAATGTAACACCTAGTCAGTAATAAAGGTAGATGAAAATTATTTACTCTACATGAAGTATATTAAACTACCATCTGTTTTAACCTCTAATTACATTGTAAAAATGATGTTCGTGACCAAAAAGGTAATATTTACATCTGCTTTTCATCACGTGAAGGATATGACGTCAACTTTGGTAGACATGGTATTCAAATAATCACACAGAAAAACAAACAAAAATCCATCCCAAGCGTTTGAAAATATGCTAAATCTGGAATGGATGGAATGCTTAAGCTTACATCATATAAAATCCCAATACGGAGGCATCGCTAGGCGCTGGCACACGGGGTCAGTACCCCGAATCCCCAGTTGGTGTCTTGAAAAATCCGAATTAAAAATCATGATCGATATCATACTGAAACGCAGAAAGTTTCCTCGTCTTTGGCCCGAGCCCCGAATTTTTTCAGCACTTAGCTACGGTCTCTGTTCCAATAGCTTGCATTTCAGATTTGAGAGGCAAATAGCACATTGTTTATATATACCATGTGAACAACAATTTAACTTAATGAATCCGAATGGAAATACTCGATATTAATTAGTCAGAACTCAATAATTTTGGTAAGTCAGAGAAAGTCAGTATAACTTGCAATACATAATAACTAAACTAGTTAGTGAAATATACTATAAACCAATAGTGGGATTGACTGTTACCTTACAATGGTTGAAAGAGCGAACATATCCGACGACAGAGATTCGAACCAGCGACCTATAAGCTGTGAATCGAGTGCCCTAACTATCAGGCCATATCAGGCCTTTTTAGTAGAAAATCAAAAAAGTAATATCCTGTTTAATCATAACCATTTCAATGTGATATATGAAACCAAGTATGTAGCTTGAACTTTCAACAATATTCACACTAACACAATGTAGCAAGCTGATAAAGTAAACAATGGTACTGATTTTGGAAAGTAACTGATATACAGGGTGGACCAAAAGTTACTATACTATAGGTAGAGATGGTATTATACGCTTAGTACTAAAGCAAATATTACGAAGAGAATTGAGACCCTTGCTCGTTTCAGAAGAGCGGTTAGAAATGAAACAACTGTATAGTCACTTTTGCCAAACCCTGTATAATGTAAATCAGCTAGAAAATTTCATGCTATAAAAAGTTTTAAAGAGTTAAAAGATTTATGTATAATGAACCATTTTCTGTATTGGTGCTCGTATACAGATATGTAGATTGTTCATTTGGAATTGATATGTAATTATATTTGTTAGTACTGTAGAAATATATCAGGCAGAGGCTTGGTTTGTTTGGAATTTTGCGCAAAGCTACACGAACGCTATCTGCGCTGTCAGTCCCTAATTTAGCAGTGAAAGATTTGTTTGTTTTGAATTTCGCGCAAAGCTACACGAGGGCTATCTGCGCTAGCCGTCCCTAATTTAGCAGTGAAAGATTTGTTTGTTTTGAATTTCGCGCAAAGCTACACGAGGGCTATCTGCGCTAGCCGTCCCTAATTTAGCAGTGAAAGATTTGTTTGTTTTG